TGAGGTGCTAGGCAAGTGGTACTCTAGGAAGCATTTTATGCCCCCCAGGCCTATGTATGGGCATGACTCCTCCCAAGCAAGTTTTGATATTCCAAGGATGCGACCTCACTTAGCCAATTGTTTGAGTGCCCGTGCAGCTCTTCCCAACAGTTTCAATTTAATTTAGAAAATTTAATTGTTGCCCTTAAACATTATCTAATAGTATATACGTATCATACACAAACAAGTGCGTTGAAAAATCAGTCAAATGGGACAATTCCAGGGCAAAGGTTAACCAGAGCCGTACATACATTAATAATCCTGTCAATCATAGGAGTTGATGTTTCTTGGGAACCACTGGGTTTGCTAATTAAGAAATCAATTGGTAGAATTCCACTCAAAATAGTGTACTTCCTTCAAAGTAAACCAATTACTCGCTCAACATGTATGCGAACATTAGCAATTTCCCCGGTTCTTTCGAAATCTACTGGATCTAGCTGGTCTTTACCCTATGTAAAGGCTGGAATTACAACCTCTGCATTCTTAAAGATAAGGGATTTTCGGATGGTATATCCGCGATCTGCAAAGACGAGATCTCCAGGTAGTAGCTTCTCCAATATTCCACATTGCTTAGTCAAACACTTGTCTGAGGTTCTCCCTCCCCGTGCTTTCGAAACAAAGGAAAATGCACCCTGAGGAGTTATGCCTATTAAAACCTTTACAGTGTTATGATGTTTGTAGGATGACCAGGTTTGCGCACATGCAAGTAGATTAGATGGTCGGTCAATAAAGATTTCAAAACAGTTGATAATTACCGTTGTTTTTTTACCGTGGCATGGTTTTTATTGTGGCATGGTTTTCCACAAGTCCTCTCGGTCTGGCCATTAATCAATGGGCGCAGTCTTATATCCATAACGATCATCCAGGCCTAAAACGATCTCGACACAGTTGACACAGAGATGCTAAATCTGTACGCCAGATCTTCAAATGGCATATTTAGTTTCAGCTTCATCAATGTCATAATAAACTCTTGAAAAGGAGACTAAAGTTGGGACTTGCGAGTAACAAAGGGAAGAATATGATGAGAAACAATGTTTAGGGTATCGAATGAAGGTAATCCAGTGTAAAATTTTACTTTCTTGTCGTCATATTTTCGAAATTCATCCTCACTAAAAGGCAGCTGCGTGCGCGGTGGGTCTGAAGAAACTAGATAGTCAAACTCTTCTGCTTGAGTGCTGGAATCCACACACTTCGGAGGTTCTTCGACAGAAAAGATATCAGAAAGTTGCTGACCCTCTTCATTCAACCCCATTTTCTTC